CTCCTGCAGACGCAACATAATTCAATAAATATTCGAAGAAGTCCCTGCGTGGTTTCTCCTGTTGCTGCTACTGTTCCTCCGCCTGCTCTGTTCCTTTGCTGCTGCTGCTGCTGCTGCTGCTGCTGCTGCTGCGAGGCTGCTGCTGCCACTGCAGCACGGCGCGTAGCTTCGGCTGCACTTTTTCGAGTCTTAACTCGTAGACTTCTGCAGATGAAAAATATAAACAATATTTATTTTGTTGATTAACTGGAAATAACCCCACATAAACTCTGCAACAAATATCTTACATGCATGTCTGCCTCACAGCAGCAGCAGCAGCAGCAGCAGCAGCAGCAGCAGCAGCACTGCAGCAGCACGAAGGTGTCCGTCCGGTCACATTGAACGGGGACACTGCAGCAGCACTAGCAGCAGCAGCAGCAGCAGCAGCAGCAGGTGTTGAATGTAATATTTGTTGTCTTTCCCTTTATTTTTACTCTGTTTTTATACTAAACAGCTAGCAGCAAAGCAGCAGCGAACAACGTCTGTATACAGCATACACACACACACACACACACACACACACACACACACACACACACACACACACACANCTGTATACAGCATACACACACACACACACACACACACACACACACACACACACACACACACACACACAAAGACACAAACACACACAAAAAGCTGCACGGTCTCTGTTGTTGTGTGTCTGATGTGGCTAAGCATATTGCAGCTCCCCTATATGTTTAGTACGGCGCTAGTGCATGCAGCAAAGTGGGGCTTGGGTATGCTTGCATGCGGGGTGCAGTGCAGGAGGAGTTGCAGGCAGCTGCATAGCAGCTTACTATACACTTCCCCCTCTCCGCAGCAGCCCCAGGCCTTCGCGCAGCTTACCCAGGGCGCTTGGAGACTCGATGGGGGTCAAGCTATAGAAGTCTGAGTCTCACGGCGGGCCTCGGCCAAAGCCAAAGACAAACGATACACCTGGCTGCACTGCATGCGCCAGTGGGGCTGGCTGGAGTTACAAATCTTATCAACACACCCGCAGCCGAGGGTCTATGTGTAGGGCACTGAACACGCTGTGATAAAATTTAGAAATTTCCCGCGAAATTCTGTGCACTTCTAGCTATTATACACCCCAACAATATATATGTATTGGGATATTCTCTCCGGCAAAGAAAAAAACAAACAGCGTGGAGCCCCGCAGCATTGGACTGAGCGCAGTGCCAGCAGTGAATCTCGCCGAAAGATATTTCACAGAGAAAACAAAATACTCGAAAAGTTTTTTCCCCCCTTTGCTGCCCCCCCCTCTCCCCCAAAACGAAGGGTTCTGCGGTGCGCGAGTTTATTGCTGCTGCTCGCCTGCAGGTTGATATCTATCTTCAAAATGCACCCAGAAAGCTACGGAGGCTATTGGCATTCTCTTCATGGGGGGAGAGGCGTGAGAATGGTGTTTATATTTATGTATGGGCACTACACCACTTTTCTGGAGAGCATGCAGAGTTAAGAAGCCTCCAGTGTGCGGTGTGGAGAAAGGAGATTCGTGAATAGACCCTGCAGCGGGCAATAATTGATTTTAAAAAACACAAGCAAGGGGAGCTATCCGTAGAGTGCTGCACCGAGGAGCATCACGCCTCTGTGAACAAAACTCCCACGATGGCACCGTAGATTCGTAGTTTCGTAGTTTCGTTTCGCGCAGCGAAGCTTACATTCAGCTTATGGTGACAGTTCGTCCTCTGCCTGTAAAGAGGCTCACATATCTTTATCGCGATGCGCTCTTTGGGTCTGGCTGTTTTTCAGTTGTAGTCTGCGCCCTTCTCTCTCTAGTGCAGAGCACTGCACTGGGCCCAGCTGCGAATGGAAACAGAGTAAAAAGAGGGAAATAAAGGGGGAAGCTGGTATAGACAGCAAGGAAAGCGAGCCTTCGATACAGCCACAGCAGAGGTCTAGCAAGGCCAGCGCGGAAACGCCTCGGTCTTGGCCAGCCTTCACACCCCGCACGGCCAACAAGTGGTAAAGGGCGTCACTGTGACGCCCGCGAATAGAGACAAGCCGTTGAAAAAGGGCGAGCATGAAGCTTGATAAACGAGAGTAAGACCCCTAAATATGTTAAATTCAAGTAGTTAATGGGGAACGATACGGGCCCAGTGCCGGAGCGGCCATGCTGCCGACTGGTAGCGACACCGTGCGTTTGGCGCTGTGGAGAAGTGCTTGTAGCTCGTTTAATGCCGAGTAAGTTCAAGAAAAAGAGTTCGAGAACACGTTGAATTTATAACTAATTGCGAACATTTCTGTGCGAGAAGGTAGTTAAGTTGTAGCTTAGCTGGCTTAGGAGACGTAAGTGTAAGTGGGTGCCTAACAGGGCTAGGCACCTACTTGTGGGGTCTGTCACCGCCACCACATAACACTTTCATTTTCTCCGCATTTTGAAACCCTACCTTCCTTGGGTTTACCTGCAAACCTGCCCCAGTGCGACGCTGGTTTTGTTTGGGGGCGGCAGTTTACCGCATGTTTTTAATTATCTCGGGGTGAAGCCATAAACAAATGGCACCCAGCACAAACCTTAAGGATGTATGATATACAGCCGAGTGCGCAACCAGTTTGTATTTGTAGTTCTACCCAAGTTGCTCGTGATGAAGACGCTCAGGCTGCAGGTAGAGGGTTCGAACTCCACCCCCTCAATGCAGCCAATCAGTTGAAGGGTTGAACGCTTGACTTTCTTTAGGTGTGGGTCACAGCAGCTTCGTCTATACTGCAGGATAGAGGGGCGCTTGGGCGGTGAGACGCGCACGTCGGCGTGCGCGCGCACCAGGAACGAGCGGGGGTAGTGTACACACCCTTTTCTCGCACGCATATCAGAATTCATTGGAAGCAAGGATGAACAGCAGTTCTTTTCGTTCTTCGAAGCATCCGCAGGAGAGCGTCTTCGCCTAGCGGGGCGCCTGAGGAAAAGGCGCTCATCTGTGAAGGTTCATGGTCTGGCTACAGATCGTGGTCTTACGCGACCTCAATTCGGGTTTGAAGACAGGGCGTAGACAGGCAACCAGGAAGTAGCGGCGACGAGCAACCGGTAGCTGTTTTCCGCTGTTTACCGTTGCAGTTGCATTGCCAACCGTGCTGCCGCTTCTCCTGTTGCTGCTAGTGGTATTGAAACATCCGTCTCACTGCACGCCGGGGCACCGGCACAGCAGTCTGCTGTTGCCGCTGCTGCTGCTCCTACTATCGCCGCTGCGGCAGCAGCGAGAGCCGCGAAGATTCGGGTAGCTCGAATTACGGCGCGACAGCAGGGCGGGTCCCACCGCCAAATAGGGGAAAACAAGGGTGTCTTCGGCAGCAGTTCCGAGCTAGCTGGGAGAAGGAGAGGCGATGCATATCAGAGCTGGAGATTACCTAGCTTCTGGGAGCACCTTGATAGAAAGATGTGAGCGGTTCCTGACCCGCCACACCGGCTCCGCTTCCGAAATATCCAAGACCCAGAATTAAGCTGCGTCGTGCATGACAAAGCTGGGTGTGGCTGCCGTCGAATATGGTTCAGCGCAGCCCTTTTGGAGCGGGCACCCCAACTTGGTCGAGGAGTGCCTGCAAATATTCCTGGGGAATCGTTCACGCAGTTGGACCTCAGAATCCCACTGTAGCTGTCGGTCCCCTGACCATTTCGTATAATCGTTTTCTTTGGCCTCTGCGATGTAGGCCAGCGCATTAACTCGAGAACGAGTACTAAGTGGTTCTATCCAGTACAAGTCGAACTTCTTCGGCTGATCGCCCCCCTGTGCGCTTCGGAGGGCGTGCGAATCCACTAAGACCAAGTCATCTGGGTTGAAAGTAACTGCTGAACGTCGTTTGTCGTAGTTCTTTGCCCGCCGTGCTTGTGTTTTCATCGTGCATCCCCGCTTAACTGCAAACTGTATATGGCAGCCAGCGACTGGGGTCGCTCGCGACGTGCTTCGAATACCCAGGCCCAACGTCGGGTCAGACAACAGTGTTGCGGTGTAGGGCAGTGATGCCGGATAGCAACGGGCCGAAGAGTGCACTGTTGTATTAAAAGAGCATTCTGGATAAAGAAGGAAATCAATCCACGCTGATGTGGATAGAGCCTAAAATACTGCACCAGCGTGCGATTGGTGCGTTCAGTTTGACCGTCTACCTGCTGGTACGCGGTGGTCATGTTGTGGTCAAAGTTAAGCCGCTTCATGAATTCGCGCCAGAAAGAGCCATGGGATTCACTGTACCCATATCTAGTGGTGCTCTTTAGAAAGCCGTGAAGCTTCTAGACATGATTAACAAATAATTGGGCTACCTCCTCCGCTGGAACGGAATTCGAGCAGGGGATGAACTGCGCCCACCCTTACCCCGCCGATGACCAAATTATTTCAACAGCTGTGCGATAGGGCTCAAAGTCATATTCTCAAAGCGAAGTGGCAACAAAAACACTACGCAGACGCTCACCGCCGCGATGTCCAATACAACCCAGGAGATCGGATATGGATCAGCAGCCGCCACCTCCCGGGGCTCAATCAGTGCCCCAAGCTAGAGCCCCGGTTCCGTGGACCCTTCACAGTCTTAGAACGCATCGGTCAAGTCGGTTACAGCATCGAGCTCCCGCCAACTTATCCATGTCATAATGTATTCCACGTGTCTCAGCTTGTCCCCGACCGCCCACGCGATCCTCAGATGCAGTCTAAAGAAGCCGCCGTTGGATGGTTACCGATAACGGGCCCGGATGGCGCTCCCACCGATACCTATGAGGTGGACTACATTCTCAACCAACACGGTTCGGGAAAGGATATCCAGTACCTCGTTAAGTGGCGAGGCGCTCCTGAGGACCGCGCAACCTGGGAGCCAGCCGCCAATCTTACCAGCTATTTCAAGCGTGCAAGGGACAACCAGAGAAGACCTCAGGATGTCGCCTCTAGCTTCGCGCATACTACTGCAGCAGGGCCTTCATCGCCGAGGTTTTTCTCGCGAGGGGGGGAAGGGGTGGCGCGGCACTATCCGGCAGCCGCACCACTCAGAGCACAAGACAGCCTAAAGGAGCCGGAGAGAGATACATCGCTGGGAAGTACGGTGGACTCTGAAGCGGAACCCGAAAGGCGTACCAGCAGAGAAGTAGAAGATGAGGGCGTGGTACCAGAAACGAGGAAGTAAAGGAGGCAAGTGGAGAAGGGGATGAACACACCTACGACAGACGGGAAGAAGTTCCGGGAGTGACAGGAAATTTTCGGCCGAAGGAGGAAGTTGTAGTGCACTGGCACCACAATGACAGGAAATTTTCGGCCGGGGGGGAAGTTGTAGTGCACTGGCACTACAATGCACTGTGGTAGATAACTAGCGGGCGTACGAGGTTAAAGACTCTTAAGGCCTAATTAATTCAACTAATAAATGTTAGGTTAGTAGGCGAAATCGCGGGCGTCACTCATAGAGCCTGTGGTTAGCCGGTACCTCGCAGAGGTAGAGGCACAGCCACCGCAGGGACACAGGTCGGCTACACACCCGCAGATTGCCACGCGGGGCTCAGGGATCGGACTGAAATCGAACGGACAGAACTATTTTGCTCAAAGATTTGCCCGTGTAATTACTTGTTTTACTTGTAGAGACGGCCTTTCGCGCAGAATAGCCTGTGTAGTTACTTTCTCTCGCATTCCTGCGGACCTCGGGCAAGGGGCTAGACGCGGGAGGGCATTACAGATACTATCTTGGCGCGGTTCTCCAACAAGAGGGCAAACCGGTTGGTTTCCTTAGCCGTTCACTGACAGATGTTTACCGGTTATTGTAGATTCCCTTGGCAAAATGGCACACGCCATCCCCACCACAAAGAATGTTTCAACGAAACCTTCCAATTACTGGCGGATAGACTTATCCGACACCATGGTTTTCGGGCGGCCCCAATCAGAGATCAGGACTCCAGGTTCCAGTCTGCACTCTGGAAACGTTTGTGCACCAGATTCAACATCCGGCGGGCCATCTCGACAGCACACCAGCCACAGAAGGATGGTCAAACAGAACGAATCAACCGTACCTTGGAACAGATGATTCGCACCTATATTCAGTCAGATGGATAGGAGTCGGAGCGACTCCTCGCAGAGCTGGAGCTAGCATACAATAAATACCACGAGTCATTCTTCTACCGAACCCAGTCCCTTTGAAGTCATGATACGGGAAAACCCTCACGGCTGCGGAGCTGGATAGTGAGATATCTCGCTCTGAATGTCACCCCACCGGTGACCAAGCTTTTCATACGTCTGTGCAATCGGGCTCAAGGCCACATTCTCAAAAGCTACGTGGCGGAAGAAAGCCTATGCGGACAAGCATAGGCGGGTTAGGGGGTTCCAGCCAGGGGATAAAGTGTAGATCAGCAGTTGGAACCTTCCTCCACGAAACCAATGTTCTAAGTTCGAATCCCTGTTCCGGCGTACCTTTACCGTGACAGAGCGTGTCAGGAAAATCGCCTGCCGCCTAGTTTTCCCTCAAACCTATGAATGTCCGACGGTGATCGGGGACCTCTAATCACCAATGCGGGAAGATCACATGACAGTCAACAGGGAGGTCGTTAGTAAGAAAGGCATCTAGAAGTCAGGGGACGCGGGTACGGGAGACAATGCTAGGGGGCTGCATCTTTATTCTTTGCCCTAATACGCCTCTGTTGTTTAAGTAGGTCAGTCAGAGGGGCGAAAATTCGAGAAAATCCGCGTATGAAGTTGCTGTGGCAAGAAGTGACAACTAAAAACCTCTGAACGTTCCTGCACAGAGGCAGCTGCCACGTCCGAATAGCTTCAATCTTCGACGGATGTTGTTCAACATCTGCTGCAGGGGTACGAAACCCCGATCATCTAATTGGTTTCATGAAAAGCGAACCGCTCTGGGCTTTTACAAACCACTGCTTCGCGCGTAGCAGTTTCAGGGGACGCCATAAGCGGTAGCGGCGGTCCTGCAGTTGAAAAGAAGCAGATCATCCTTGTATATAACCACCCGCCTCTAATTGATTGGCCCCAAGAGATGGTGATTGACACCACGTTGCAGTTCGGCAGGTGGAATCTCGAGCTCAAATGTGTCCTCTAGCTTGCAAGTGCGGGTATGACCCACCGTGCTGTGTGTTGTGTCTATCGCCAGGATCTATTGGAATCCGCAAAAACTCCTCGGCGGAGTCAGATGATGAATATGATACTAAACCCTGCTAAAGTTTGTCGATCCATCGCATCCGGAACTTCTCTTTTACCGTGTTTTTTGTTGAGCGACTTGAAGACAAGATACATGAGCCGCCGCTCATCCTTTTTTTTGCCAACACCGGGCTGCGCCATTATGCGCTTGTTAACTTTTTCAGAAATTCCGGCAAACCCCTCACGGTGAGGAGGAAAGTGAGCGCCAGATCCGCCACAGCCAGGACGCTTGCAGACCTGGAAATAAAACTTAATCGTAGCGCATCTCGGACGTCTTGCATGAATCTGATATGCTTCGGTTAAATGGACTCTTTGTTTAGATGCAGCTGCCATCGTCGTGCGCCTCTTTCTAGTAGAGAAGATGATAATAGGAATGATAGATACTCTGGCGCGCTCTGAAGCCGAAGGTATCAGTTGAGGGCACCAAAGAACTGCTCAACTGATTCCGCATCCAAGCGTTTATCATATATGGATGGACGGAAGATGTGGCGGCAACATTTCTGCGTTGTTCTCGGTGGAAATGCAGTTTCCACTCGACGGGACACTGAAAACGAGTTTGTGGCTGTTCGGAGAGGCTCCGGGTTGTGGGTTCCCAGAACATGGAGAATTTCCATTAGGAGAGAGCTGAGGTTTTGACAAAGATTTTCAAAAGGGTGTTTTTTGCCCCTATTACTGCTACAAATCTGGGTGCCAGGCTTCGAGGGGTGGGGTTCGTTGCTCGCACTTGCCCCGATGAACTATGCGGCGCTATCAAGCATAACAGGCGTCCACGCTCTTATCCAAGGGCAGTCTCCAGTCGAACTAGTTGCGATAGAAAACCTCCAAAAAGTAGTTCAGCCCCTCTCCAGCCACCAGGCAGCCTGGGACCGGCGTCCAAAGGCCGTCTGGACCGGGCAGAGGAGGCAACCTGAGACACGCTGCAACGCACCCCGGTGCAATCCACACCGCAACGTAACTCCACATTGCGTACACACACAGACACACACCTGGCTGGCCCTCAGTGACCAGCCTGAACGGAAGGAGGAATACGCAGAGCAATTCCACGGAGAGAACGTTCCGCCTGGGAACTGGAAAGCAAGGACTGCTTCTTTTTAGGCGCTTATCTCGGGTATTTTGACTTTTTTTCTAGCTCTTAACTGCCACCGGATAACATCGAAGACTCTCGTTACAGTCGTTGGCTGCAGTCGAGCCAGCAGTGAACACCCCCCGAATATACGGGTGACCCCGCTTGAAGTCTCCAGGCGTCCTGGTCAGAGCAGCACAGTGTCCTGGGGCTGCTGCGGGGAGGCGGCTGCGTAGGAAGAGTTGCAGCACTCTGTGCTCCAATCCCTGCTGCAAGCCACTGCTGCATGCAAGCTCGTTCAAGCCCCGTATGATGCATGCACTAACACCCTAGAGATGTGCTTCTCCGTAAACAACTCGCACACAAGTAGGAATGCATGCAACAACTTAGACAGACAAAGCCCCAGCATTTCTGCATGCAACAGAGCATGCAGCGCATGCAGCAGCAGCAGCAACACAAGCCACAAAAGTAAAGTAAATGTGTGAGCTGTCGGCTGCTGCCTACGGCTAGCAGCGATGCAGCAACAAGCAGCCTAAGTGCTGGAACGTATTGAGGTACATTTCTCAGAAGTAAAAAGAAGAGCAGACACAGAATCCAAATAAATATCACCGTCCTTGCTGCTGCTGCCTGTGCTGCTGCTGTTGCTGCTGCTGC